TTTCGACTAACATCGATTATTCTCTTGGTGTCTTCAACAATATCATCAACATTGGTCTAGGCACCCCTACCAAGTTCTTCAAACTTATGTTAGACACGGTAGTGATCTCACTTGGACTCAATGTGTCCCCTGCATTAACTTTTATAACAAAAAAGACCCATTTAATGACCCGACCCAATACTCGACTTTCACCACCAACGAATGCATCTCTAACTATTGTACCCAACTCCCTCAATTTGGTTGCTCACCTACCATCACCTGTCTCTACGAGCGAAAAATGTTAGTCGTGCTATTACTAAAGGTTCCCTCATTTAAGACACCATTTACCCACTTACCACAAACTTCCTAGTCCACCCTATGTAACATTTTCTGAGAAAAAATGATCAATTACACAATGGCACCGCCACTATTTAATCTTGACACATGCTATGACATCCCTAACTTCGAGCATGTGGTGTTACCATAGATTTTGATGATCTATAATGGTGAAGTGACAGCTAACTTAGATTTCTTAGGGTTACTTTTGGTGGCCAAAAAATCTCAAGCATGCTTATCATTTATTGAAAATAAGGATGATAGTAAGCTTGTGGTTATTGGTAATATGTAGCAACACAGGTTCAATGTAGTCTATGATGTGGGGAACTTACAAATTGGTTTTGGGACTAATGGTTGTAACTAGTAATGGTTCAATCGAGTTAATTGAGTTAAATGAAATTTATTTATGTAGCCAGAATGAATAGGTTTCATCATATTGGCTATAAAATCTGGGTGTGCGGGATAATAAATGCGTCAAAAAAAAAAGTTTGATTGTATCAAAATTTTATGAAATAATTAAATAGCAAGTAAAGGCAACTTTATATAAGTTCATGAAAACCATTAAGATGTGCTTAATTTCTTTATAACTAAGGGAAAATAATGACATTATTTGTTGGAGGATAGAATTTTGATTATCAGAGTTAAAATCTCATCATTCTTTTCAAAAGAGCTTATACTTAAAAATAATGAAGATTGCTTATGGTGATGATTTTGTTCAGTGTCAGAGTATTCCAAACTAAAATCATCACATGTTTTTCTTCAACTTGATCATTTTGGTTCTCATTTAGGCTTCATTTTTTTCCCTATTCGCTAAATGGAGGCGTTTAAGACTTCTGAGTTTGGCCATCCCATTGGGCCACCCAGCTTAAGACATTGATGCTTTAATGCAACCAATCCCATGTTCCTTAAATATGGGGTCATTTAGCTGATTTAGGCAAACCCACTTACTGATCACATACATGACCGTAGAACTCATGATCTCTAGTTGATAGCCAAATCTCCCAACCAACAAATTAATGAGAGTTGAAAAATGATAAATTATGTGATTTACATTTTTATAATTTTGAAGAATTTCTTTCTAAATATTATGCCACAACACAAAAAAAAATCTAACTCCTCCACTATCTACATCCATCATGTATGTGTATGTTCATCCATATTTATTATACAATTCTCAAACCTATGTTCATCCATAAAAAAAGTTCTAATCTCCAGCTGAGGCTTCAATAAGTGGGGCCAAAGGTGTCGACATTGAAGCCCTATCAAAAGTGTCTTAATGAAATTTCTTGCTTTATTTGATCAGTGATATAATTTGATATGTTCCAAACATATTAAGCTTTTATAGTAAAATAAAATTATAAAATACGAGGGATTTAGCAGACTAATGCTCTCACTTGAAATCATTTTTAATTTTTTATATATCATATAATTTTAATTTTACAAATAGAATTTTATATAAAAAATTTTAATTTACAAACCCTATTAAATTTTTGAATTTAGAATTATAAATACCTGTTGAAAGAATATTGCTAAAGTTTTAAAAATAATTAATTTTTGTGCACGATTAAAAAATTTATGACTCTACAAATTTCAAAGAGAAACTCTATATCTCCAACAAGCTCTCTATGATATTGATTTAGAGTAGTGTTATGATGCCATTGAACTTATTTTGTTCTTTGATGGACGTCTACTCATCGAAGACTATTAGGACTTGGGACGTGTTATTGAGATCTTCTTTTCGTATATGGAGGTTAAACTGGAAAAATAAGTGAAGTATGTTTCTTTGAGGTTGAGAAAAGGTTCTAGTGCTTGGGTTGCACAATTATTACGAATGAGATACAGAGAAGGGAAATGATGGATTTGGAGTTGGTCTAAGATGAAATAGCTTTTGAGGGCTCATTTCTTCCCATTAATTTTGAGCAAATACTTTACCTTAAATATCTGCATTGAGTGCAAGGGGCTCATTCTATAAGTGAATATACATATGAATTCTACAGGTTGAGTGCATGGAATATCTCAATGAATCCCATATTCAAATATCATTGAATGATATATTGGTGGCCTAAATGTCAATCTTGAACAATAAATTTGAGTTAAGCTCAGATTGTGGTCATGATCCTCAGGATGTAAAATTCGCCATTGTAAAGACAAAATATGCAACACTTAGTCATCATAAAAAGTTACGCTCAACTGGTCACCAATTTATAGAATTGGCTGTAGGAAGGGTAATGAATCCAATAAACCACTAACTAAATTGTAGCAGCACTACCACAACAAAATCACCCAACCAATGTCAACTACGATGTTCAACAGGATAATAAACTGAACTAAAACTTAAAGTACAGACCTTGTTAATGACCAACAATTGTATACATTAGGGTATTTCATATATCTTTATTATAATTTTTGTGTGCTTCATTTTAGGCTTTAAAGGTGTATATTTCCCAATGCTAACCCTCAATATTTCTTGAATTTGTTGCCAAAGTTGCTAATACACAATAATCCAATAATTTTTATAATAACTTATACATAAATAATGAATCTTTGATAAAATTTATGATTATATTAAGATAATCAAAAATCTTTATAGAATAATTTGTTTTATTTCATTTAAATGTAGTCCTATAATACATGCCTTATGTATAGTATTTATATCTTATCATAATGGAGTTAAACTATTTATTTTATGATAAATACCACTTGACCTCTAAAATTTATAATAATCTATCATGATATATGCTTTGTATATCAAATATACTTTTGGAGAGAGTAGAATGTTGTTGGGAAATTCCTATTATGTTATTAAGTAAATTTTTTTGGATTAGATGGAGAAAATATTTGATCTATTTTTATGTAGGTCTTCATTGCTAATGTGCAATATTGATATTAGAAATTAGATCAAGAAAATGTTTAAAAATCACAAGATGACATGCAGATTCAGCAAAGGTAAATATTGGAGGAGCTGTAGAAAATGGGGGGTAGTTTACTGGAAAGCAACCAACCTCGAGAAAGGAGAATGATGATACATGTTATGACTAGACTACATGTGTTTGTAGATTTTATGTTGAGTTTTTATTGTATAAGAACTGGACATTTATCTTAGAAGTTTTTAAATTTTTCTTTTAATTGAATTTGTAATTACTTTAGCGTTACTATTCTTGTGCAATGTTGAAATGTTATTGTAGAAATGTTGAAATGGGAGGCTTTTCCTTAGGGTTCTCTGCTAGGATTTTTGTCGACTGCATTCTCTCCTTCGCCTTCGCGCCTGGGAGGGCTCCTCCCTCCCCGATGGACGCCTCTTCACTCAATTTCCCTCCACTTCCTTCCCCTTAAGTGCTTGGTCCTTCTCCGGGAGGCCTTTCTTATGTGGCCAACATCTCGGCCTCTTCTTCCAAGCCGACCCCTTTCTCGTTGTCCTTTTACTCTCCTGGACAAAAGCTTTATTTTAAAGCAGATGATCTCTCAGAAGGGAAGACCATATGGATATCAGCGCTCATTGGTTATTCGTTGGGGCCTCGACCTTACTATGAGCGCTTGCTCAAAGCCATGCAGAAGCTCTGGCAGCTTAAAGGTTCTATGACACTTTTTTCCTTGGCAGACGGTTTCTTTTTACTTAAACTTTCTACAGAGGAGGATCTGGAGATGGTACTTTCGGGTGGCCCATGGTTCCTGTTAGGTAAGCCTTTTATTCTTTATCGTTAGTCTCCTAAATTTAAGCCAAAGCGTGATGAGGCTGCTCCTATTCCGATTTGGATCAAGATAGTCGACTTCCCTCTGGCTCTATGGACCCCCACTGGTATTTCCAAAATCTCGAGCTATGTTGGTATTCCGATTTCTGTTGATTCCCTAACGGCTAATCGGACTCGTTTAACATTCGCTCGGGTATGTGTTCTTATCTCGAAAGACTCAGTTTTGCCGGATAAAATCCCGATTGAAATAGAAGGCGAAGATCTAGTTTTGAAAGTTTTATATGATTGGAAACCTGAAAATTGTGAAGGATGTGGTTCTTTGATTCATCCTTTCTCCCTTTGCCCCAAAAACCCAAATCCTCAACCAGTCCTCCCTCCCCAGCCACCCAGAAATAGAGGCAGAAGTACTTCTAGACCTCATTCTAACCGTCCTCACAGATCTCCGTCTAAACTTCCTCCACCAAAACCTCCTATCAATCTAGTTAATCCAATTCCTACCACTATTCCTACGGCACTGCCAGTGATTATTCCCTACCAATCTGCTACTACCCAGATCCGCAGTAATCCTCCCTTGGTTCAGCCCCTGGTTGATCATTCAACTATGGCCCTGCCACAGAACGTTTCTGATCCCGCACCCTCTCATTCCGAATCAGCCCTGCTACCAAATCTCAATGCTCCTGCAGAAGAAACCTCTTCTTCTGGTAAACCTACTTCCCCCACTCTTCTACATACTCCAAAAATTCCTCTCCTGAACAAGTTTGCCTCTTTGCAAACTGATGAACAGAATCATTTTGACTCTTCTGAATCCTTCTAGGAGACGGAAATCTCTTCATCATCAGTTGCTGTTGATGACCCCCCTCTGAACTCCCGGCCTCAGATTCTTTCTGAACCAAATTGTCACAACACTATATCTTCTGTCGACAAAGGGAAATCCCCCAACAAGTCAAAACTTCCTAAAGGCAAATAGGCCAAGAAGGCCAAAGGTAAAAATTCTTAATGTCCTTACCCAAATTTGCTAGTTGGAATGTTAGGGGGTTTAACAGCCCTGACAAAGTCAATTTTTGTAAGTCTCTGATTAGCTCTTTTGACCTCAAGAAGTTATGTGTTTTGGAAGCAAAAATTTCCTCTGCTTCCTTTGAAGATCCATGGTTTTTGCTTTCCCACTGTCTTTTTGAGAACAAAGGTAGTTGCAACAATTTTGGGGACTCTGCTTTGGGAAGGATTTGGATTAAATGGGATGCTTCTGTTTTCTCTTTTAATCTAATAGCCTCTTCTTCTCAACACATACATGGCATTTTATCGGTGGCTTCTCATCCTCCGATTTATCTTTCTGTGTTATATGCTTCTAACTCCGTGGAAGAGAGAAAAATCCTGTGGGAACATATTACCTCCTCTTCTCCCCCTTTGGACCAACCTTGGGTCATTTTGGGAGATTTTAATTGTTGCAGATATGATACTAAAAAAGTTGGTGGCTCTATCTCCTCTCCCAGCATATTTGGAGAACTCAATGGCTTCATCTTTAATTGTGGGGTGCAAGACCATTCATCCATGGGCCTTTTTTACACATGGTTTAACCAAAGAGTGGATAATCCTATACACATTAAACTGGATAGAGTTCTGGTTAACAATTCTTTTTTGGATATCTTTCCTAATGCCTACTACAGTGTGGAATCTCATCTTGGGTCGGATCACTCCCCTTTAGTATTCAACTATTCTCATGAAAAGGCTTTATCTGTTAGATTCATGTTCAAAAAATTACTGGATAAATATGGAGGGATATTGGGATGACGTCCTTGATGCTTTCTCTTCCCGATCGGCTAGAAGCCCCATGGCTTCCTTCTACCATAGTCTTCAAAGGCTAAAAAGATCTTTAAAAAATAGGAATTGGGCATCTACTTCCTATCTCACTAATGCCTTGTTAGAATCTAAATGCAAACAGAAGCAATGCTTGGTTGATTTGCAAACCAATCCTCTTGATCCTGAGTTAAATCAAAACCTGAAGGAAATTAATTTGGAGTGCGTACTTGCAAACTCAGTGGTCTTCTTGGTTATCACAAAGAGCTAAGGTTCTATGGCTTACTAAAGGGGAAGATGATCTTGGTTTTCTATTTTCTCACATAAGAAGTAGAAACAACAAAAATTCTATTAAGGAGATCTCCACTCCTGAGGGCCACTTCACAAAGTTTAATGAGATTTCATCTGCCACAATCAATCATTTTGAGGACTTGTTCAATACCCCACATCCTCCCCTTCAATTACCTTTGAATATCCCTCATGGAAATCTGATCCCTCCACACTTTTGTGACATGTTGGTGGCTCATTTAACTTTGGATGAGGTCAAGCTTGCGGTTTTTGATGGAAAGGAAAACTCATCACCTGGACCTGACAGTTTCACTTTTGCTTTTTATAGAAAATCTTGGTATCTCATTGGGTTGCAAGTGTATAATGCGGTTTGCAATTTCTTTCATTCCGGCTCTCTTCCGAGAGGGGTTAAAGCGACTGCCATTGCTTTAATCCCTAAATGCTCTCATGCTTCCAACATCAATGACTTTAGGCCAATTTCTCTATGCAATGTTATCTACAAAATTATTGGTAAAGTCATTGCTAACAGGCTTAAAGTGGTTCTCCCTTTCATCATTCATGAAAGTCAATCGGGTTTCATTGCCAACAGATGTTCTACTGATAACATTATTCTTGCTGCTGAATTACTTAGAGATTTCAAAGGCCCCAATAAAAAATTCTGTGCTAAACTGGATGTCAAAAATTTTTTTGACACGGTCTCTAGGGAATTTATTATTGCTAGACTTTTATAGAAGGGTTTTCCGGAGATTTTTGTTGCTTGGATAAAAGGTTGTATTAGCGAGGTTCATTACTCCATTTGCTTGAATGGCTCCCTTGAGGGGTTCTTTAAATCTAGTTCGGGCCTGAGGCAAGGCTGCCTTTTATCCCCCCTCCTTTTTTGTATTACAATGGATGGTTTATCCAATATCCTGACTGACCCTTCTGGCACCCACACTTTCAAAGGCATTAGATGCAAAGATTTCTACATCAATCATTTGATGTATGCTGATGAACTGCTGGTTTTTGGAGATTCATCTAGAGAAAATGCCACTCATCTGAATAATTTCCTTCAACTTTTTGCTTCACTTTCTGGACTCCAAATTAAAACCAATAAAAGTGCTATCATTTTCTCTCATCATGATTCGAAAAATCAAAGTATCTGTGAGGAGCTGGGTATTCTCAATGTCAACCACTTCTAAGCAAAATTTTTGCTCTACTTGCTGGTTGGAAAAACAAATTTCTTTCTTTTGCAGGTAGGGTTCAATTACTCAAATTTACTATAACCAACTCTATTGCTTATTGGATAAGGGGTTCTATCATACCTAAGGGTTGTTGTTCTACCATCAACAAACTTTGCTCCAAGTTTCTATTTCATAACAACTTGTTAGATAGAAAACTGCACCTCATCTCTTGGTCTAAAGTTACCATTCCAAAATATGCTGGAGGTCTTGGTATTCCATCTTTTGATGCTATGTATTTCGGTGTCTGCTGCTCCATTATTGGAAGATTTTATAACAACCAAAATCTGCTTAGCTGCCGATTTCAGGATAAGTACATTACTCCTTGGAAGCATCCCCCTTATACCGCATCTAAATTCTGGCATAAAATATCTGCCACTGTTAATAAAATCAAAGAGACATTATCTTTTCCTGTGTCAAATAATTGTAATTGCTCTTTCCTTTGGGACCCGTGGCTCAATGGGCAATCTATATGTGACACTTTTCATCTTCCAGTTTTGGAAACTGCTCGGGTGAGAAATTTAATTTTGGGTAATAGCTGGCAGCTGCCTTCTTTATTCCCTGAAAGTTTATGTGATAGCATTAAGGCTGTGGACATACAAGATCATTCTGGAGTTTTATGGGAGGGGTCTACTAAATGGGTTTTTAGAAACTTCATTCAACACTTTTATTCTGGCATTCCTAAGGTTGATTGGCATATTTCTATTTGGCACAAAAATCATGCACTCAAGTATGCCTGTTTTACATGGATGGCTAGAATTGGAAAATTGAAAACTGCGGATAATTTGATTTTGAGGGGTATCCAGGTGCCTCCTCACTGCTCTCTTTGCTTGGGACATCTTTAGAATCACTCACACTTATTTTTTGACTGTGATTTCACCTTTTACATTCTCAAGCACATTTTACCGGATTTTAACAGTTTTTTACTTAGACCGACTTTGCCCCAAGTGCTGGATTTTATTGAAAACTCTTTAAGTTTTGATAGAACTGATAAAGATTTTTGTTATTTAGCCATTATCTGCATTATGTATCATATTTGGAGAGAGCGTAAGAATCGTCGTTTCTCTAACCTTAATAATAATGTGGCTACTATCATCTGCAACATATCTTTGGCTGTTAGACTGAAAACTGCAAAATGGAAGCACAAACCTACTTTATTTCAAAGGCTTACGGGTATTTAGTCTACTATTTCTTTGTTTTTTAGTTGTGCTGGAAGATGCTGATTGACCTTCAGGTTGTCTTGGTTGGCCATCACACAAATTTCGGGACCCTTTTTTCTCCGAGGCTCATTTTTTTGGCCCAGCTTTTGCGATATTGTTTTTTTCAGACCTAGGGAAAAGTTTTTTGGGAATGCAGATCTCATTCCAGATTGCTAGTGGATTTCTTACATAAAATTTCCTGGGTATACTGCAAAGACTATAACTGACATTGGAGGACGCTTGGCTTACAGACTATGACGAGCAAGGGCAGTCTCTCCGAGCCATGGAGGGCCTCTGTGGCAACCTGGCTCGCTTTTGTGGACTTTCATAATCAGGATGGAGGTGCTGTGATGGCCGCTTTTGCTGGAATTTGCTATCTTTTACTCTTGCCTTTTGGGCAACCGGTGCCACCACCTAAACTTCTCGTTTACGCTATCATATATATCTTGATGAATGAGACTTGTCCTAAATTCTGAGTCTTTTGTAATGTCTCCTGAACCATTTTTGGCCTTGTTATAGTCTTTGTGTTATTTTGGTTAGGCTTTTATTTTCTTTTTTCACAGGTTACTTGTAATTTGTTTTTTCAGTTATTAATATATGGACTTTGAGCCACGGGTTTACCCAAAAGAAATGTTGAAATGAATTATTTTGATTGGATGTGATTGTACAAATGTTATGTTACAATAATCGAGGTAAGGTGTATTTTGTTTGTTATGTTGCAGGTTTTTGATGGATTTTGGGCTGAAAAACTATAAAAAAGGAAAATAGGAGTTTTGTGTTCTATTTTTGGCAATGATTATCTGCCAGGATTATCGGCAAAATCCCAAAAGTAGCTTCCTGTAGAAATTTTGTCAATAGGTGCCATCCAAATTTCTTTCGGTTGGCCATTAAATATTTGAACAGATACTACTAATTAATTTATGATGGATAGCTCTTTCGCTAATTCCGAAGGAAAAAATTTGTCGAAATACTAGCAGAATATTCAAAGGTAAATTGACCCAAAATGCTGCATTTTTCTTCCACGTTTATGCTAAAAATCTACTAGTACATCGTCAAAATTGTTTCCAGTAGAAAGTTTTCTAAGTAGGCCACTCTCCGATGTGCATCTCACTAGCAAAAAGAAATCTACCAAAAAGCAATTATTTTCGATGGATTTAAAACTTTTTTTTGGATTAGATGGCCGTGGGAAATAGCCATTTCTACCTTAGTGATAATATGTTGTGAATGAATCTACATACATATTGTTATATATGAGGCTATCATCATCTACTGTAAGAAATTTAGACAGATAGACAAAAAAAGCTTGATTAAGCATCAAGAGACTAAATGACACCTCCAATGCAAAAAATAGAAGCAACAAAGGGATTGAGATCACCCTCTTCTCTCAGCTCAGTATTTTTAACATCAACATCTTGAACTCGAATGATGAAAGTTAATATATATAATATCATTTTTATCATTTTGAAGGACATTCATCAAAAAAATATTTCACCTCAATGAATAAATTAAACACAGGATTCCTCATAGTTATTTGAGCTTATACTTCCAGGACTATTTTCACCTTAACTTCCTGCAAGATGAAGGGAATCATAAGATCTAAGAATGAAGTCAATAGTGTTGTGAATGTTATTATGAGATAATAATTATTATTTACCATTTCTCGACTTTTAGAAGAAACATCAAAAGATACTCAAATAATATTTATTGACTCTAAATTTAAAGTAATTTGCTACTCATATTTAGATTCTTTCATCACGATAGATGGAATAGAGGTTCCTCCCACTTATAATATATAAGTTCTAATCGAAAAAATTAAATACCAGTGTTAAGCTTTCTTCTCAACTATATTATATGTATAATTTTGATTGTCAATCTATATTAACTCTCACCATGATCACCCTATTAGTCACCTTATAGAACCATTTTTACAATTAATGCCTAATTCAAGTTAGTGGATATTAGGAAATCTACATTGCAATTTTCAATCATCTGGTGATTTCCATATTCGTGAAAATTATATCTATCTTCTAATTAAATTTTAAACTTTCTCCGTAACAACGTATATTATAAATTATAGGAAATAAATCATTTGATCGCTCCTAATAGCTCTGATGAGCTAATTATATAACTTTTGATGGCTCAAATAATAAGTAATCTTTGATTGGCTAAATCTAGGAAGTCGAGGAAATTCATAAGTTTATTTTACAAGAGTTATCTATCTTTCATGGCTCTTTGACCAATCAAACTCTTATTATTGAAACACAATAAATGGAAACACCCAACCAACACAAATTAACTAGAACAAATGATAACATACTAAAAACTTCACACCCATATGTTGCGACACATGATCCCGAGTTTGAGATTTTGATGATGACAAATAATGTCGCCAAAACTACAATTCATTGAATATCATTTATTGTTTGCTATTTTCCATGAGTACTAACATTTCAGGAAGATCATAAGCTACTCATGACAACAGGAAGACTCAAGACTGGTTAGATTAGGAGTATGAGTCTAACAATGTAATTTGTTATTTATTATATTTTTTATTTTCTTGAGTCTGGCCACAAACTGCATGTAAGTCTGAGCAACCATGCACACACAAAGGGGGAGATGGTTTTAAAAGTAAAAAATGTAGATTTTCTTTCTTCGGTGATCTTACTATACGACTTTATTTCGTACTGTACGATTTGTCTTGTAAAATGATTTCTGTGAATATATCGTATTGTATGAATACTATCGTACTGTATGATGTCTTCCAAATCCAAAACCCTAGCTATGAAATTAACTTAAGTTTTTCTCAGCCATTCATACTGTACGAAGGACTTCGTACTGTAGGAGTTATTTTAAATACATACTTAAATTAACCCATGATTAGTGAAATAAATCAAGGCTTAATTACTAATTGAAAATCATACTATACGAACACATTAGTACTATACGATGAACAGAGATGAATTCTAATCGTCTCGGAGATCGTCCTGGATGATCCCTTATTTTTGTCTTATCATACCGTACGATGGCTATCATACCATACGATGAACAGAGATGACATTTGATCATCCCAGAATTCATCCTAACGATGCCTTGATTTTGACCATTTGTACTATATGATGTGTATCGTACCATACGATGAATAGAGATGACATTTGCTCGTCCCGGCTATCGTCCTGTACGAGCAGTAGTGTTGAGGATCATACCATACGATTTATTATCATACTATACGATTAGATTTTTAATTGTTTGTACACCTTCGTACCAGGATGAAGCTTGTTTATACAAATCTACTGTGCGATGTTAAATCTTTTTGTA